CAGCGTAGAGAGACTCTGCACATAGTCAGTGACCTCCAAGGCAGGAGCCTCATGGTTCAAGCACATAGTGAGGAAAGCTGCCTCCACAGCAGCCAGGGAGCAGAGCAGAGGAACAGAACCAGAGAGGAACAAGCAAGGGACCAGATATAACATCCAAGGCCATGCTTCCGTGACCCACACAGGTACAACCAGGAGCATGCTCTACTAGATTGCTAAGGATATTCAAGATTAATAGTCACACCATCTCCCACGAATACTCAGAATAATCTTATAAAACATACATCAGGGGCTGGGAATACAGCTCAGTGGTGCAGTGCCTGCCTGGCAAGTGCAAGGTAGTGATTTGATCCCTGGTACAAAAAAAAAAAAAAAAAAAAAAAAAATCAAAAGTATGTCAGATAAAGTTATTTCCCTGAATAAAACTTTCCATAAGTTTTTTTCCCCTCTATTTCTCTTAGAATAAAATCCCTTATTGGCAACAATGCTCTGTGCGACAGACCCCTACTCTCCTCTTCACGTCCTATCCCTTGCTCATTATGCTTCTGTCACATAAGGAGCCTCGTTCTGCCTCTAGGATAAGCCAGTCTCATCCTCAGTCTCAGTGCCTGGACATCCCCTTTTCTCTGTGCCTCTTTGCATGACTTGCCTCTTCCCGCTTTGTGAGTTTAGGCTCAAATGCCTAGTGATGTTTTCTAGAGCAGTCACCTCCAGCTCAAATCCCATCACAGAGAGTACTGCATTTCTGTACTAGTTAACAAGGTTGTAATCTGCATGGGGCCATCTTGGTTGTGTGGCTCACTACCAGACCTTAGAACATCATATGTCACTTTCAACAGATTAAATAGATCCTTTAAAAATTCTTGTTGGGTTAACTTATATAAACATACAGTCACAGCATTGTGTAACAAATATGTAATAAAGTTAAGTTTGAAGGGGTGATGAGAAAAAAGAGAAGTCCATCCAACCCAATTTGGAAAAACTGTGTATACAACTCAGAGGAAGGAACTTGAGGAAAGTGATAAATAATTATCATCATCATCACTACCACTATTTATTAAGCACATATTGATGTGCCAGAAGTGACATTAAGCACTATTACAAACCCAATATTATAATTCCAATAGTAATAGTAATTCTTTATAATATTGTAATCCCTTATCTCATCCTCCTTCTGGTCCAGAAAGTTTATATTTGTAATCCCATTGAAACATTATTGGAATCTTGGCAAGTTAATTTCAATCTACCACCTCCAATACAACCCAGGAGAGAATTAAGACACTAAGACATATTTAAAGTTACAAGTAGCCAAGGAGTCCTGAATCTGGTCCAGGTGAGAATACATGGAACAAAGGCTTTGATCCAAAGCCTCATCCAGAATTTATTATCTTGCAAAGAAGGCAGTGACTCTAGGGTGAATATGGTGGGAATTACATGAGAAATATGAGCTGAGCTAGCCAGGTGGTAAGAAAGGCACCTCTGCAAAATGCAAGGAGAATGGTATTCAGAAAGACCAATTTGCATAACTCAATTGGGGTAGCATAGAAATGATTGAGGAGGCTGTTGCTTTAGTTTCTGAAATATAAAATTTGTACCCTGAGAAGTCATAGCCTATTTGAGGCTCATATGCAGTTGACATTCCTGGAGCTATGTGGCTCTGCCATCCCACTGTAACAACTGCTTATGGGGAATACAATGTGAGAAAACAGGAGACTGTCAGTTGGCCTTGAAGATTACATATCAATACCTTAGCTAGCCTTATTTGCATTGCTTAGAGGTAATTGAATGTAGAAAGAAACAGCATAGCCAGCTCTGTACCTGTCAGTACATGGAGATAGGGCTTGCTTTAAATAATGTAGAGGTAATAGTTCTGCATTCAAGGAGAGCCATCCACTTGGTCTTCCATAAAGCACTTTAGTTTATTCTTCTTGTATAGCCATCATTACACCTCTCTAAGGAAATATCACCAGTTTTGCAGAAGTGAGAACTGAGATCTGAAAGCATTAATATTATCAGTCCTTGTAAAGCCCAAGCATCAGGGACCCAGAATATACACAGAAGTGGGAATGGACAATTCCAAGGAGAGAAAATAGCATGTAGAAAAGCACAGAGGACTGAAAAAACAAAGTGTATTTGGAGAATTATACATAATTCCAGAATAGTATATACCTGACTTCACATGTATTGTGAAATACGAATTTTGAACCAAATAAGCCTCTTTGTAAGTTACTCAGCCTCAGGTACGTGTTATAGCAACTACAACCACAACAGCAACACAGCAACACCAACAAAAAGAACAGAATAAGATACTAATTTTCTGTAAATCTGAGCATGATTTAAGGGGTAGGAAAGGCCTTCTGTCATAATCAATGCTTTCTCCTATGCCTTTTTCTGTTAAGTATCCAAATTATAGTACTTCAGTGTTCACAGGAAGCCAGGAGAGGAAGGCTCATCACAAGCATGCCAAACAACCTTGAGGCTGTTAATATATATGATTAAAATTCTGTCAGAAGTCTGAATAGTAGTGAGCCAGATTTTGGAATAGAAGATTAAGAATCTAGGAGTCTCAAAGAATAAAACAGGTTATTTCAGTGCAGTTTAAACTCTGCATGATTTCTTCTCAAGACTGAAGTTTAAAAACCATAGAATTGTTGAATGGATTGAAGAAGGGAAAGTTTAAAGTCCACGAACAAAGAGGTGATTTCCAGAGGTCACAGGAAATAATTTGAGCAAATTTGTGTCATGCAAAAATGATTCTTAGCTGTGACTCCGAATGGGTCCTGTGATTTCTAGTCCATCATTAAACCTTGGGATGATCTGGAAATCCTCAAAACAGCTAATTATATATTTTCTCTCTATTCAAGTAACAGGGTAGTTCTGTGGGAATCAGGAAGATTTTCCTTGTTAAACAAACAAGGAAATCTGAATATGATTTAGATATAGCTGTTGATAACTAAGGCGCCTGTAGGTTCAAGGCAACTTTTTTGGAAGTACTGAAATCCATTCCTCGCTACATATACAATTACATCCTCCACTAAAAGCACAGTTTGGGGCTATGACAAACTGCTCTAGCTATAAGCTATAGTCAGGACTATTTATGCCTTTGAGGGATGCTCCAGTCTAAGAAAAAGTTCAAGGCCAATGAGAATATTTTGTCTACTCACATGAAGAGGAGAAAAAACAAAAGTTAGTTAGAAGGTATTTAATTAAGAGAGTAACAGTGTTTTAAATCTTGCTCCAATGATCTGGGATTCAAAAGAAACAAAAGGGTAAATGGTGAAGTCTCCCATCTCACTTTCTCCCAGGTACCTGTTTTCCTCCTCTGTTTTGCAGAACCAAACAACTTTATTGTTTTCTTGCACAACTTTACAGAAAGTTGAGATACTCAAGATATCATAGACTTTACCATCTTCCATGGGGACTTTCATTTTCTTTTGTTTTAGATTTCCTGTTTCTTGTATCCTTTGTTTATCCTTCAGTTTATTTTCTTATTTTAGTGAAACAAATTCTGTAGTAGCTTCTTAAGAGAAGGTGTATAATAGGTAAATATTTTGAAATTTTGTACATCTAAAAATACATTTGTTCTACTTTCCCACTAGATTGATAATTGGTAGAATTTTAAGTAGAAATCAGTCTCTTTAGAATTTCAGATTGTTGCTCCTTGGTGGTTATTTTGCTTGTTGTGTTTTGTTTCACTTTTTCTTGTGTAGGTGTTTAGAATTTATTGACTTTGCAATCTGAAAACTTTATATCCGTCAATCTTGGAGTCTCCAGAATTACCTTTTTCTTTGTTCTTGTTTGCTTCTCAAGCAGGCTTAAGAATTATTTCTTCCTGTTTGAGCTAGTCTTCCAATTTTATCTTCCCCTGCACATTCCTTTCGGCTATCTTCTGTTGATTTTTTTCGTTTCTTTTTTTCTTGTCTCCAGGCACTCTTACCTCCCTTGCCCATACACTTTATTATATCCTGGTGGGGCTTCATCTTCTCCTCTTTCTTGGAATAGTGAGTTTTCTTAAGTATTTCCCTTCATTGTCTATTTTCTTCATCTTTCATTTTCAGTGTTTTGGCCTTGTCCTATATTATTGGTTTCTTTTGGCCACAATTTATGATTAAAGGTAAAAAATAAGTAAAAAGAGCAGAAGCACTGAGTGGATGGACAGTCTTTCTGACTGAATTTCACCAGAGTGATGTGGTTGTGTGATTTATAGAGAAAAATCCAGTGGCAGTCTCTTTGGTGAATCTCTTGGGTTAATCAAATTTTGATTAACACAGTGAGCATCACAGTGGGAGGGATCAGTTTACAGTTGGCACAAACTCTGACTTGTTCCCTGTTTAGGTACTGGATAAAGACAAACACTCATCAAATAATTCAACCTCTCAATTTCAGGTTAGAGGGAAGAGGGACAGCTGCCCTGGGACAGGAAGCTGGACAAAAGTTCTAGCAACCCTACGTCCCCTTATTTTCGATTTAACCGCTCATATTTATGCTTTCCAGCTTCCAACATTTTGTTTACAGAAGCTCCATGTCCTTGCGGTTTAGGTTTTCCCTAGAGGTTCAGCAACGGGCTAAACAATATTGGACGCTCCTCCGCGTGCCACCGTTTAAGTCAGGACAGGTGTTCCTATGGTTGAAAAGCGTTTTGGGTACACCAATCGTGCAGCTCAGCCATCCATTCCAAAGACATCCCATTTTTTCATTTGGGGGGATTCCCGCTAACTTCAGGCTCCATAAGGAGTATATAAAGTGCCACAACGCAGAGCCAGAGTGGAAATAGGTGGAGACAATAAGCCGCAGAGATATTAACCCGGGGTCAACAACCCACTTACTGGGTACGTAGTCAACGCAGGCTGGGGAGACGCCCCCTGCTCTTCCGGGACCTTCACCACCCACCTCGCAGCCCTGCCCCCGCCAAGCCCCGCCCTCAGAAAGGCCCCGCCCACCGTGACGGCCCCGCCCCGCCCCTGCCCGCCCGGAAGAGCGCGCTCTCGCTGTCTGTCCTCCCTCTGGCCCGCCCGCCCGCCCGCCCGCATGTCTGCGCCCCTGCTCCAACGCTTTGCTCAGCGCCCAGTCCCGAGGGTCACCCTGCTGCCGCTGCGGCTGCTGGCCTTGCTGGCTCTGTTCCTTGCGGTCTGGGCTGACTGTCCTTGCCAGGAACCTGCGCTCTGCGGCCCGATCTTACACCGCCCCGATTTCGAGGTCAGAGCCTCTCACCGCTGTGGGTCTGATCCTCAAGGCTGGGAGAGAGGAGTGGAACGGAGCCCTAACCGAGAGGCGATGGGACTCTAGCACTAACCGTGACCGTTTGCCGAGGGCCTTCCTATTTACAGATTTCCTTCAGTTTGCGGAGGGGGAAACTGCCGGCGCGGAGAGGTTGAGTAACCCCTCCTACGCCTCCCGGGCTGGAGTGCCCAGCTCTGCCGGCGAGGCTTAAACCCATGTCTCACTTTGAGGGCCAGCTCCTGTCTCTCCCTTGCCCGGCCTCCTCTCCAGGGGCAGACTAGGTATAAAACCCAAAGGTGGGATGATTCACTTCGTGGTTTCAGCGAATGAGGGCTTTGTATGGAAGAGACAGAGAATGTTTTATCTTTTTAAAAGTGTAGCTATTGAGCTCTTTCCTTCATGGTGCCTCAGAACCAAGAAGAGTGGAAAAAATAGATCTTTCAGTAAATTTTCCTTCTACCTAAACAGTTTATAAGGCTTCTGGCTTATAAACCTTCTGAAGCTGTATTAGAGCTACTTAACTGAAAGTTGGGAGGCGACCTTGAGGTGGGAGCAGAGACTTCGTGTAGGCAGAATGGCATGGAACTGGACATCTGTGACCCCACATTCCTGCAAGCACAGGACGGTCAGGGCAGCTGCAGCGTTATTCAGTTGAACTTGCAATGGGTCAAGACTAAAATCAGTCAGTCCGGTACCACACAGATCCAAATGTTTTAGCTGTCTGGTGCACACATGATGTTGGACAAAGTCAGGGAGCTAAGGTTTTTTTTTTTTTTTTGTATTTTTGAAATAGGGTTTCACTATATAGTTCAGACTGGCATTGAACTCATTGTGGCCCAGGCGGGCCTCAAATTCGCAGCAGTCCTCCTGCCTCAGCCACCTGAGTGCTGGAATTACAGACATGCATCACTGTGCTTGGCTTGGAAAGTCAGATTTTGTCCAAAGAACAATTCTTTTGTAGAAATAGGACCAATTTTTAGTTCTTAATGTAGTAGATTAATTTGAAGGCAGGGCTTGTAAGTATATATACACTGTTCAGGAGAAAAAATAAAAGTGAAAGCTGTGGTGACCCTGCCCAGTGTGGAAATCTTTTTAAAAACTTCAGGCCAAAAGTTTATCTGAGGGAAGAACAATTCATGATAATCGATCAGACTCATATCATCAACAACTCATAGAGATATAAAAGATATAAAAGAGTTGTAGGTTTCTATAGACTGAACACAAATGCAAAGAAGTTGATTAGCTGTGGTTAGGTGTTTGCCTCATTTGCGTAAGACCTGGAGAAAAGTCCCTGCTAGGTTAGTTGGTGGTTTCTGATTGAGTTTTGTCTTACTGTTTACACGTTATGTTACACTTCGGTTAAGTGGAAATCTAAGGCACTGGAGCTGTTTCAACCTAATGGTCTCAATAAATGTTTTTTAAAAACTATCTGAAAGATTTATTGTAGCATCCAATATTTGGTAGATTAGGTAATATTTGTGGGCATTTTGAAAAATGTGATGTGGGAAAATTAAGCGTATTTTCATATGGTCACAGTAACTAAAAACTTTACTAACTTCTGTACTTTTTGAAATATGTTTTAAATCTTGGAAATTGAGCCGAAGGCCTCATGTATATAAAGAAGCCACATTACTACTAATGTACACCCGCAGCCCCTTCCCTTGTGTTTTCAATCAGATCTCACAAGCACTTATTATTTTTTAAAAATCCTTTAGTCTTAATTATTGGAATTAAAATCAAGACAGTTTGATAAAAAAGTGAATCCAAAGATTCATAGTCCATTCAATTCATATTCTTTAATTTTTATTATTTATTTACTTATTTATTAATGAGACAGAGTTTGGCTAAATGGCTAAGTTGCCCTGCTGGATTTAAATTAGTGATCTTTCTGTCTTAGCTTCCCAGAGTGCTGGAATTACAGGTGTGTTTTTTTAAAATCCTTTTTATTATTTTACAGGGAAGTTTAAAAAGTAAAAGAAAAAGGGAGGAGACCAAAAAAGTTAAATGTTGAGTTTTTAGTACACCTACTGCTCCTGCCAATCCAGTCTCCTCAGAGTAGCCCGAGGATTTACTCTGCAATGGATCTCCACCATCCAAGGATAAAATTCAAAATCCTCAGTGGTGTACAAAGTTCTTCACATTACTAATATTTACCTAAACTCCTTTTAGGTGATTCTGCACTTTCAGGATTTCTGTGCTGTGGCTACTTTCAGTCCCGGAATCAGAATTCTCCTGCGGTGTAGGGACATCTGAGTTGTTTGTTCCCTCCTCTGAGAATGTTCCCTTTTGCCCATTGGTACCCTTCCTCCATTGTCATTATATAGATTTCATTCAACCCTATGGTATTGTCCTCAGGGAAATTTTCCTGTCCTACCTTCGAACTGATCTCCATGGCACCCTGCATTTCCTTGTAACCTTTACTACTATTGCAATTAATAACTCCTTTACAAACTTGATTTCTCTTATTAACCTCTGTGTCCCTAGTGTCTAGCAAAATACCCTCCCTAGCAGGATGTGGTGATAATGCCTGTAATCACAGCTATGAGACTGATGTGGGAGGGGCATAAGTTCCAGACCAACCGGGTAAACTTTGCAATGTTCTACCTCAAAACCAACAGCCCTCCCCCCACAAAAACAAACAAACAAAACAGAAAACATACCAAAGGATTGGGGATGTAGCTTGGTGTTCTCTGAATTCAATCCTAGTGCAAAGAAGAAAGGAAAGGAAGGATGGGGGGGAAAGGAAGGAAGGAAGGAAGGAAGGAAGGAAGGAAGGAAGGAAAAAGAAGAATCCTGAACCTTCTCTATGCTTTACTAAAACTGAATAAATATTTTCTGGATCTATTAATCAGTACCTTGGAATAAAAGAAACCTGACCAGTGAGACTTCTGTTTGACTTGACTAAGAAGTCAATGCCACTAACAACATTCCTAGTACCTGCCTAGTGCAGTACCTGCGGCTCCGTGTGCAGGGCCAGAGCTATTCCCAGACTCACTTCTCTTCCTCGCTCTTTCAGTCAGTCACCACCTCCTGTGAATGTTGCCTTCCTCGAATCTCCCAGATCTGTTCACTCTCCTCACTTTACTGAGTGCTCTGTGGTAGAGGTTGCCAGCACCTCTTGCCTGGATTCATCCAACAGCTTCCCTGTTCTTTCAGTTTGGGGCCCTCTTTCATACATTTTTTACTTCAGCTGAAGGGATTTCTCTAAGATGCACAGCTTCTTTTAAAAAGGTTTTTATTTTCTCCATTGCCTTCAGGATATAGGACTAACTTCTCAACAGGTCTTACGAGGCTCATGAGGATTTAATCACTGCTTACCCCTCCTCCCAGGCTCTTTTCTACGCTAAATTCTAGGCATGCACTATGTATACCGAATATTCATTTACACAATCACCCACATTCTCTCTGCGTCCAGGCCTTGGCATTTCCCACTGTCTTCCTGGCCTGTCCTTCCTCCCTTTCCTGGCCCGGTTAGTTATCCTTGCCACCAGGTTACACTGGCATCCTCATGTCTTTACCCTCGTACTGTCAGAGCCTGGTGTACGGTGGTCTGGGTGGTCAGCATGATATGCTTGATTTACATGAGAATGCTTATCCTGATTGTTCCACAGGTCTTTGTATTTGATGTTGGCCAGAAAACTTGGAAATCTTATGACTGGTCACAGATTACCACAGTGGCAGTGTTTGGAAAATATGACTCAGAACTCATGTGCTATGCGCATTCAAAAGGAGCCAGAGTAGTGCTAAAAGGTATTTTTTTTTTTTTTACCGGTTGCATGCATTTAGTTAATTGGTAAATTTACCAGTATCATTTGCTATATCCTTGTTTTAAAAAAAATTTGTTTATATTCATCTTTTTTTGAAATCTTTAATTTTCAGTAAATTAATTTCACAAATCAAGATCTCTTTTGAAAGCTTATATAATCCATTTAATGATTTTGAGCAAAATGTGACAGGCTAATTGGCAAACTGTCTCACTTTTAGTTAGTTTACAAGTTCTGCCTTTAATTTGAGGATGATCTTTATTTTATCTATGTTGCTAATTTTAGAGATTAGTAGGCAATGGCTATTATTTTGATATGTTAATTTACTATTTGGGGATTAGAGGCTAGTATTCCAAAATAATGAAATGTTTTAAAACAGTTTGTTCCCTTTGAAAGTGGGTTTGTAAAATAAATGACATTTTACTATAAAAAGCATATAGATACAAAAGATATCTATTTCTTCCATAGGAGATGTACCCTTAAAGGACATCATTGATCCCAGTTTCAGAGCATCCTGGATAGCACAGAAACTTCACTTGGCCAAAACACAATATATGGATGGAATTAATATTGACATAGAGCAGGAAGTTAATTGTTCATCGCCTGAATACAACGCATTAACAGCTTTGGTCAAAGAAACCACAGAGTCTTTCCATCATGAGATTGAGGGATCACAGGTAAAAACATTCATTTTTTTTTCTTGGAAATTCTGTATTTTCTCTATCACAATGGTTTCATGAAGTATACGGTCTAATAGTGATGCAAAATGGAAGAATTTCAGGACATATTTCCTAAACATATTTTATAAATTTAATGTTATTAAGGAACTTTAAGGTACAAAAATTTGTTCTGCATTCACATCAGAATACAACACTGAGATTCCTCCTTGCAGCAGAATACAGTGTTAGGCAGTGAAGGCAGGAAGCATCATGAAGAGCCCGATTTTCACCGGTCAGAATAGAAATAACTCTTGCAAGAGGAGAGGTAGTTCTGGGGAAGTGTCACACTTACTCCATGGTCTGTAAATTGCTTGGAGAGAACCCAAGGCCCAATAAAGCTCAAAGGACTGATTGTGTAGAACTTGTAAGAGCTATGACAGATGACAGTGTGCTTTTTCATTGCCATAATGATTCCAGTACCAGGCATCTTGCTGGGAACTGTGCAGTAACAAAGGATAGTGTGGCTCCAAATGACTAATCTTAAATCTGGTCACATATCAGGATGACAAGGGGTCTCAAAAAGAATACATATGTACATAGACACTAAGGACCCACTGCAAAAAAATATTATTCAGAAGGTTTTTGATGAACCTAGAAATCGCTGATTATAATTAAGAGCTACTAAGTTAGATAGTGACTTTTTTTTTTTTTTTGGTACTAGGGATCAAACTCACAACCTCATGGTTGCCAGGGCAGGTGCTTAAGCTGCTAAGCTAAATCCCCAGCCTGATAGTGAGATTTTTGAAAGCTGGGAACAGATCCTCAATGTCTAACATGATGTTTAAAAATTATTTACTAAATATGTGAATAATGCCTTTAAATAATTTTAAATGTGGTTAAATAGGGTGCACATGCACACATTCTCTCTCTCTCTCTCTCTCTCTCTCTCTCTCTCTCTCTCTCTCTCCCTAACTTTCCAGGGAGAGCTTGGTTGCAAGGCCCCATGTGAATACCAAAATCTATAGATGTTCAAGTCCTGTACATAAAATGGCAAAGTATGCAGGACCTTCTGTATACTCTACATTACTTATAATACCTAATACAATGTAAATGTTATATATAGTTTCTATGCTGTTTTTTAAAGAATAAAGACAAGAAAAGTATGTACATGCTAAGTATAGGTACAATTTAAAAAGTATTTTTATCTAACTATATTGTGTCTAAGAATGATAAATGTAATATTCATTCTAAGATGGAGCATTATAAATACAACCATCAATTCCTAAACCTGTCTCAGAATCATCTGGGAGTATTCATTTAAAATTTCTCAAAATTGATTCAGTAGGTCTGGGATAGAGCATAGGGAACTGCAACTTTATCAAGTGCTCTAGTTGGTCATTGTGAATATGAGGATCACTGGTAAAATAATGATGAGAGGACTTGCATCTGTATGGTTTTATGCAAATAGGGAAGTTTGTAGGTATGGAATGCAAATTTTCAAATGGGTACAGTGTAGAAAAGAATAGCAAATACCTGGCATGCTCCTTCCTCCTTGTAAGTTTTGGTTTCAGGAAATTTTCCTTTATTCTCTTGGTCGCTTTACTAACAGGTTAGATTAGTAACCTGTTAGTAACTAACAGGTTACTAACAGGTTAATTTTCAGGCCCTCATTAAGTTATAGTGAAAGAACAAGATCAATGAAATTGGGCAAAATCCCTATTATCTATTTTCAGCCAGCTGTGCTGCTACATGCTTACAATCCCAGCACTCTGCGAGGCTGAGGCAGAAAGACTGTAAGTTTGAGCCTAGTTAGAACTTAGCAATTTAGCAAGACCATATCTCAGAATAAAAAATAAAAACAAAAAGGACTGGGGATATAGTCTAGGGTTATATCTGTGGATTCAATCTCTAGGACCACAAAAAAAAAAAAATAACAAAAGCTAAAGGAGTATCCATCTTCATGTTTAAGAGTGAGTAGAATAATTTGGATTATTATGTCAGATTCATTTAAGGTGAATAAGTAGGAGGTATGGTTGGAAAACTAGTTGAGATTGTGGAAGATCCAGGATATAAGCCTGGGAATATGCATTTTATTCCGTATGTAATGGGGTACATGGGTAGACTTGTGAATGTGGATGTTTTGGGAGATTATTCTATGCAGTATATAAAACCAAAAGAGAAAGGGAGACTACTACTTATCCACCATCCTAGTAACTAGAGACTTATAGTTTGAATCAGGATAATGGCATAGCCTACCACTCAGCAAACACTTATTGAATTAATTAATAGAAAGTAAGGGGCAAAAGAACTATGAGAGGATACTCAAGGGAAACTGTAGTTAGAGTTGGGGTTAAAGGAAGGAAGGCAAATGTCAGAAAATGGCTAAAGATTTTTAAATTAGTAGCTAAAAAAATGGCCAAGTAGAAATCCTGGAGCAGAAAATGAGATTTGGGAAAAAGTTGATTTAAGTTTACAAAATTATGATCATAAAATTAAAGAGTTAGAGATGCCTTTGAAAAATTCTATACTCTTCTTTTCATAGGTTGGAAAACAGATTCAAATGTGTTACATAGCAGTGATGCAGAACAAGTTATAACAGACCCAAAACTAGAACCCAAGTCTTTTGATTTCCTGTCAGTATACTAGTACTACTGTCTCAAAAATATAAGATTAACTATGATAGGAAATCCAGGTGAAAATACTGTCAGCACTCAACTGGAAGATATGGAATAGCAAAATGAATTTGAAATGTTTCTGCTTAGAGATAGTCATTTATTTTCTCTTTTAAATATGACATGGCCTCATTTTGATAGATGGGATAGGTCCGGTATATAAGAATTTCACTTGATCACCTATTTTGACATATAACGCATCTGACATAATGTGCATGTTTGATCATTTTACATAAATTTGTATGTGTTTTTCCTCGGGTTACCTTTGATGTAACTTGGTTTATGGAATATAGGCACCAAGGTAGAACTATTGAGAAAAGCTCGTAAAGATGAGTCTTCTTTAAAGCCAGTAGTAGAAGAATTAAGGAGAGAACTTTGAAGTCCTGAAGAGTTTTGCTGTGATAAATTGGCCAAAGTGTACACATTTTACCTAAAGTATCTCATTTATGGTAATTAATCAATGAGTGTTTACTAAGTGCCTAATTAAGGAAAAAACCCTTTAATGACATTTTAGAACATTTCTACACATTAAAATAACTCATTAACATTAGTTTAGGCAATAACAAGACTCATTTGTGTTGAATTTTTACCATTCAAAATGAAAGATAATAAAAAATATGTCATTTAAATGATTTATTCAACATTTCAGATTGATTAATCTATAGCTGTGGTCCATAACACACCAGTTTTCTAACTGTAATATTGGGCTGAACCTACCATGTAGTATAATTATGAATCAGAGGCTTGTACTTACAACCCAGTCATGCTGTGACAACAGAAGACTTGTTTAGCCTACACAGATCTTTAATACTGTGGGTGTTTGAATTCTTTTAGTGTGCCTTTACTTTTCAGTTGTTTAGGAGCCTCACAGCACGCTATTGTCATTATACCTACTTTTTTTCAGCCAGTTATCAGCCAGCCTCTTCTTTTTTATGTAGTGTCTAAATATGTGTGTAGGCCAGTCCAATGTAGTAATAAACCAGTTTCTTAGAACTGTTCTAGTTCTGTATGTGCCAATCTCTACATTTATGTACTATAACAGTTCTTTTTCCTTGGGTAGTATAAGGCAAAAGAATATATGGAAAATCCATATGATATAATATGTATGTTTGATTACATTGCATGAAATTATATGTTTTCTCACAGGTAACCTTTGATGTAGCATGGTCTCCAAAGAACATAGACAGAAGATGCTATAATTACACTGGAATTGCAGATGCTTGTGACTTTCTCTTTGTGATGTCTTATGATGAACAAAGTCAGGTTTGGTCAGAATGTATTGCAGCAGCCAATGCTCCCTATAATCAGACATTATCTGGTAAGAATTCAAAAATGATAATTTCCTAGTAATATTAATTTTGGAACCTCAAACATCAAGATATCTTTTAATTACATTAAAATTACATTAATACATTACATTAAATTTATTACATTACATCATTACATTACATTAAAATTAAATTACATTATTTTATACATTTTCTCATTTGTGTGGCCTAAATATCTAAAAATCACTTAATTTGGAGAGTTTTAATGTTTACAAAAAGTTTTAAATTTTCCTTTAACTTTTCTAACAACTATGCGGGATAAGTATTTATAATAAACCCTCTTCTATATAAGAAATAAAAGGGATTAAATGTTCAAGTTTGTACAATTATAAATATTATATAGCAGGACTCAAAGTGATATTTTAACTTCAAGTACAACACTTTTGTCATGAATCTATATTAAAAAAATGTACCTAGAATTCAGTGAGATCCTTTTGTTAAAATAGTGTTAACTATTTTAGTAGCAAAGATAATTATGAGTATCCACCACACATGATTAGCAGGATTTTCTCTGTCTTATTTAATATTAGTTTTTTTCTTTTTCTTTTCTTTTTTCTTTCTTTTCTTTTTTTTTTTTTTTGGATAGTGAAACTCAAACCCAGGACCTTGTGCTTGTCAGGCAGATGCTTTGCCACTGAGCTACATCTCTGGCCTAATATTAGTTCTTCTATTAAAAATTATATTCCTATTAGAATTAAGAGTACTTCTGACTCATCATCGTATGATGTGTGTTTGTATTCAAGTTCAGATCCCATCAACTGAATAAGAGAGTGGTTGCTATCTTTTGGACTCAAATTCCTGGGACACTTGGTATTGATTCAGTTAACTGATTTATAAATAAAGTTTTTTTTTTCATACAGAGGTAAAATATTAGATGCTTGCCTCATTTTATGATGTTCCAATTGTTTGGATAAAATAATCTGATGAGAAACTTATTCTATTTAAAATTGAAAAATACTATTTTCTATTAAAGTTACAAAATTATTCACATTTGAGTTTCATGTTTCATGAACAGATGATACTCTTAATAAAAGATTCATCACCAAATACTTTGGGGAAATGAAGCATATTATCTCCATTTTAAAAATTTTAACAGTGGCCAGGTATTTAGCTCAGCAGTGTAAGTGCCTGCCTGCTTGGCAAACATGAGGTCATGAGTTCGATCCGGGCACCAAAAAAAAAAAAAAAAAAAAAAAACAAACAAAAAAAAAAAAACAAGAAAAAAGAAAAGAAAAATTTAACAGTATAGAACAGTATTAAAGACTTTAAAAACCAATAAACTTATTTAGCTCAGTAGTCTAGATAATTTAGGAGTATCTCTTTTGGTAGAAAAAAAAAACATGTTTTGTAGCACTGAGCAAAAAAAGAATTGATAGTACCAAAATTTGCTCATTTTTATCTGTTTCCTGCAAGAACAGATTACCTACTATGAAACAGGAGAGGATATTGCTTGTTTGCAGCTACCACTAGGATATTAATAGATAATTTGTAAACATGGAGCACTATGTGCTTTCTTTAAGAAATTCTGATTGTGTAACTGCCAGAAAGTTTGATTTATAGAAATGTTTTGAAACTTTAGCATCTGGATATTAAATCTGTCATGTCTTAGTAGTTAATAAAATTAACATGCTTTCCTGAAATTTTTTCTAGAATTAGATTTTTGTGAATATTTTATGTATATATAAATAATTTCAATTTTTATGAAAAAAGTGATTTAGAAAGCAAGATATGAGTTTATACTTCTTAAGGGATGACTTTTATAATACTATGTTACAGAAAATTAGTATTTTGCGTATTATGTACCTGTTTTTACAAACTTAGATTCTGAGTAGTTGCACAGCTTTTATGAACACATTTACAGATATATGAAGAGAAAAATATGTTTTTATGTCCTTACCTGACTAGGATATAATGACTACATCAAGATGGGCATTAGCCCTAAAAAACTTGTAATGGGTGTTCCTTGGTACGGTTATGATTATCCCTGCCTGAACTTATCTGAGGTAAGAATAGGTCACTTGTAACATAAGTTTCTCTTCTATTATATTTTTACATCCTCTTTTATTTCGTTGGTAATATATAAAACTTTATTTAGAATTTCTGAGGTGTGGCTTGGGACTAAAATTTTTATTTTCATTTAGTAAAAGTGGAAGCTTTTGAATGTTACACTTTTCTTTTTTGTGGTGCTGGGGATTGAACTCGGAGTTTTGTGTGTACAAGGCAAGAACTAACTCTACCACTTAACCACATCCCCAACACTATACATTTTCAGTTAGTAATGAAATTTATTTAGCTTTTTTTCTGCATAGTCAGGTTATCTTTTTATAGCATACATTTTATTTCCAATGAATGTTTTTTTATTTTTTAAAATTTGGATCTTATGATGTGTTTGATAATCTATAACATGAACATTTTTGCATTTCTAGGATCATGTTTGTACCATTGCAAAAGTCCCTTTCCGGGGGGCTCCTTGTAGTGATGCTGCAGGACGACAAGTGCCTTATAAGACAATCATGAAGCAAATAAATAGTTCTGTTTCTGGAAGCCAGTGGAATAAAGATCAGCAGGCTCCTTATTATAATTATAAAGTAAGAATTTCCCCCCAAATTATAAACATTTATTCTGTTAGTTTTTATAACTTTGTATTTTCATAATTAGATATTTGCTGTTAAGAGATTTTATCAGTGTTCATTTAGGATATAACATATAGACTGCTATTTATGTGAGTAAACTTGAATCTATGTAATCAGAAGCTTTAGTTCCCTGGGGAGCAATTCAAATAATGCTAATTCAGTGCAATACTCTTTTTGCACCACTTCATTTTACATGTTGCTGTAAAAACATACACATCACAAACAGGACTTCTTTCGTAATTAACAATTATGTAATGATGATTTGCTTTGAATTGGCTGTGGGCCAAAGTAGGCTGTAAGCTCTAAAGGACTCCATTTCAAAATAGCCTGAAGATTCTGATGCATCTCTTAGGGAGGAATGCGGTTGCAAGCAGATGAATCAGCACTGATTTTATAATAAGAAACTATCATTTCAAAAGTATTTCATAATTGATACTAATAGTATTAAAAATAAGATACAAAAAATTATAGATGGAAATGTGAGGAAATACAGTAAACAATTAGCAGTTCTGATTGGTTGTGTTTAATAAACAGGAATTGTGATGAAAGAGACAAAGAAATTATATTTTTTGTAATTTACCTTTCACATAATTAAAACCTTTTCACCTCAAAAATCTAAGTATAAATAATCTTTGAATTTGATGTAAATCATGTAATTTTAAAAGGAGTCCTAGAATGATAAAAATAATTTAAGAAAGGTTTATGTTCTCGACTAATGATCTAATACTCATTTATAAAAAATGACCACAAACACACTACTGTATAAAAATTATAACTAATACATGTTTGTATGCCTATATGTCAATTATATAGTAAGCTTTAGTATAAGCTTCTAAACTTTAGAATTGAAAATAAACAGTATTTATGGAATGTTCTGGAACCATTATTACACACATCCATGCATGCATACCTGTGTACAAATACACAGGTGCCATGGCCAATATATTTAATAAACATTATATAATGTATGTCTCTCTTGGAGACTTCTAATATACAACACTACATTAAGGGATTTGAGAATTATTGCAATATATAGAGCCATTTAGTTGTTTCAGCAAAGAACTCGTTTCACAGCACTCTTAGAAACAGGTAAGAAATCATGTATAGAGTTTGGTAAAGGTTGTGGTAGCCACCTACATATAATTTAGAAGTATTTAACATGAAATACTGATGTTTTGTCTACTTTTTAAGCTGTTAAATAATAGAATTCAAATACAGAGTGAGATATATACTGGTGTGTAATAATCCACTGCACTTAAATGAGCCACAGTTTATTCATTTACCAATAACTATTGTTTTTAACTCTGAGAGTACTATCATAAAGAAACATACACCTGAATTTCATTCAGAATTGCCTTTAAGAAGTTTCCCAGATATATATAAACATCAGTAAATTATGTTTAGTTACAGGTCTATTTTTACCTCCTGTATTTTTTTGTATTTCCTTTACTCTTTTACCTAGATCTCCTCTTTCCTTTATTCTGTAACCAGTAGCTGGAGTGTTACTGACAGAGAGGTGTACAGGGTAGAAGGCATGTGTAGGAGAACCTAGTTTATAGTTCTTATTCAGATATGTGTTAATCACCCATGGAGTCAACTCTAACAGCCTCTTAGAACAATATCTGTAACACCTAGAAAAGGAGGTTCTTTCCTCCTCCATTGTCATTACCTTTTGATTTGGCTGATTTATTGTAAACAGAATCATCTATTCAGCTTCTAGCTAGGCACACTTCCAGAAACTGTAACAAAAATAAGAAAAGTATATAAGCTGATATTAGCAGACCAGAACAGTGATTTCTTCTTAACTTTGGCTGCATACACAGTTACCAAAGGGAACTAACACAAAACAAACAACAAACATATTTCCTAGTACCAACCTTGGAGGGTTTTGATTTAGTGGGGCTTGTATAGTATGGGGATTTAGGAATGTGAATTTTTCAAAGCTCTACAGTGATTCACGTGAACATCTTGGTTGAAATTACTGCAGTAGATCAAGGAAAGAATCTTAGGACATGAGAAATAAGTAGAGTATATTAGGAAGCTCATTTGTGTAATACTATCAGAAGTACCATAAAAATATTTAGAAAGTATCAAATCATGGAATAAACAGCAGAAAAGTACTGTGAAACAAAATTTTTGTATCTTGTATCTTTTTGAGTTACTGGAATTAAACTTTTTCCCCTCTTACTGTAATTCAAATTTCCATTGTAATTTATTTTTATAGGATTCTGCTGGCCGTTTTCATCAAGTGTGGTATGATAACCCCCAGAGCATTTCTTTAAAGGCAGCATATATACAAAACTATGGCTTACGAGGCATTGGGATGTGGAATGCAAACTGTCTTGACTACTCTGGAGATGCTGAAGCCAAACAGCAAACTGAAGAAATGTGGGAAGCCTTAAAGCCAAAGTTATGACAGAGATGAAGATCTTCTATCAAACTATTAAGATATAGAAAACTGATCTGTATAAATAGATCTAGTAGGGTTGAAGAGATAAAAAGTATAAGTTTTTGTCATGTTGCTGTGTATTTTAGTATACTCAAAAAGATATAAGAAAAGTGCTTTGAATTTGAAAATTACGTTTTTATCAAAAATATTCAGATACATATAGCCAAGAAACAAATCACACATATTAAATGCTTTTTAAGACATTTGAACACTATAATTAGGAAAAAATGCTTTCAAAATTTTATTATGCTAAATTTCTCTGACATTAAAATATACCTTTATAAATCAATGATGACTAAAATGTACAAGTAATTTAAGTGGAAGTTGTTTGCTTAGAAGAGATTGTTTTAAAACGTAGCCTTTGAGAGGCAGTTTGGTTTGTGTTTTTTCCAATAAATCTTAAATTCGAAGCCTGAAAATTAGTGTCTTCTTTAGTTTCACAAATTGATGAGAATGCTTTCAGACTCCATTATAGTATGTATGTGTGTTCTCCAAGATACTGAAGTCACTTAAACCTCTAGGCAGGGAGTCGAGCAAAGATGGCGGATAGATAACAAGTAGCTACAGAAGCTCCCTGAGATAGTCAGTTTAGAATTCAACATAATACAGAGTGGGGAGCCCCAAACAGAGGGAGATGAATTCTCTCGTCGCAAGACGAAATTAAGGCGACTTGCCGACCATCTGAGGTCCTGCTGCAACTGGCTGATGTCGTGACTTGCTGGGGTCCCACTGTGACTTGCCGGGATCCTGCCGCAAATGGCCAGGATCCCGCCGTGACTAGCCAGGTCCCACTATGACTGGCCGGGATCCTGCCACAACTTGCCGAGCTGTCCTGTCGCTTTGACTCACTGGAGATGCAGTTACATTGAGTTCAAGGGTCAGCAAGCTGAACGGAGAGCTGAGCTGGTGGGGAGCCTACATTGATCTGTGGTGAGTGACGGGAGTGGAGCCATTCCATAAATAGGGGGGCTCTGGTGGATGACATTCTGGGACCATGCAGGACTGGCAAGTACAAGGGGCAGCAGTGACTTCAGTCAATTGTTCCCTTCCCAAACAGGATTGGTGGAGTGAGCTAGACCTCGATCATGTGACTCAGCTGAGACCTGTTATCTGAGGTCAAGTTCCTGCAGTGGTGGTGTCCGAGATTTGGCTGGCCGGGAGAGGAGGTGGTGCAAAGTAATACAGTAGTGCAGGCCACAGCAGCTTGACTGATCTAGAAGGGAGGGGCTGGCATACCCTACCCCTGTCTGTAACTTACTAGCACACTGCATTGTGAAGGGTCACCTAGCCAGCGCACTTCAAAAAAATTGTAACCAACAAAGAAAGAAACTGGGGCCTCCTGGAAGAAACAAAAAAGATGGGAAGAGGAAGCAACAACAAAGAGTCCTCAGGCCCCAACCCTGAAAACATTGACCCAGGACAGGTAAATACAAAGGAGAATGAGAAAGCAAACAGGCACTATCAGACACAGCGCCAGTCGACATAAAGAGATATATTCAGGACCTCATAGATGAGTTCAAATATTCAGGACCTCATAGATGAGTTCAAAAGTGTAAAATTTAGACAATTAAAGCAAGATATAAGAAGATTAATAAAAGACACCTCAAGCAGACACAGACAGAAGAAGGGAGGAACTCAAACATAGTAGAGAACCATTTGGTGAAGAATATAAAAAAATATAGAATATATGAAGCAGATTCAAAGAGATCACCAGGAAATTAAAAACTATAGATTCAAATCAGCTTGAAAGGGGAGAACATGGCGGACAGATAACAGCAACTACCGGAGGCTCTCTGAAAGACTCGGCTCAGAAGCCAGAAATGGTGCGGACTAAAGAGACATAAGCAGGTGGAGATATGCTCTGCTGACTCAGGAACGAACTGGGCTGAGAGAAACCAACTTGGAATGCAGTCCTGGTGCTAAAACATGAACAGAAAAGCCTCGGTGTGGAGGCTGGACCCCGCGCCATTGTAAGCCACGATTTGGGTTTCCCGCTGCGCGGCGGCTGGCTGCCTCTACAGTGGCTCGGCAAGGAGAGAGACGCGCAGAAGCTCTGAGAACGGCAATCTGCGAACGGCAGGGAGGCGTGCACTGACTTGTGGTGAGGTGAGTGAGAGAAACTGACACTCCACCACAGTTTGACTCCAGCAGAGGACTTTCTGGGCCTGAGCAGTCCTGCGGGAGCAGGGCGCGGTGGCGACTCCAGCCACACATCCCCCGCTCAGGCGGGATTGGTGAAAAGTGCCTGGCCTGCGTGACACTGCCGGCAGACCTGGTAGGCTGGCCCAACCCAGATCCCAGAGCCTGACGGTGGCCGGGAGGGGAGACGCGTAGGCTGCCTGGTCCATAACTCCCTGGTGCGCGGCAGTGAGCGGGAACACCTAACTGGCGCAATTCCATCAGGCTGTGGCTGACTGGGAGAGAAGCTGGGCCTCTTATATAAGCTTGCATATATAAGGAACAGAGAAGAAGAGGCAGCATGGGAAGAGGCAGCAACAAGAAAGGCTCCTCGGCCCCCAATTCTGAGAAACAGGCTATAGCAGACACCGCACCAATACACATAAGGCACCATATAGAGAGCCTCATAGACCAATTCAGGAATGAAGTTATCAACGACCTGAAGCTAGAAGTATGCAGAATAGTTAGAGAAATGCTAAGTACCACCCAAGAAAAAACAGGTGGTGGAATGGAAGAACAGAAAAAAAGGGGAGAATTGTTTGATGGAGAAAACAGAGAAAGCATAGAATACGTGAAGCAGGTTCAAAGGGACTACCAAGATACTAAGAAGTCTATAGAAGACTGGCATAACAGCTTGAAAGAAACTAAGGACAGACTATCTGAACTGGAGGGCAGACTTGTAATATGGGAGAATGAAATGAAAAACTTCTTAAAAATAACAAAGAAACAAACAACAATAATACAAAGACAAGAAGATGATAAGAGGATCCATAACTTAAGGATTAAGAACATAAAAGAAGAAGTAGGGACACAAACAAGTGAACTACAAAAGCTACTCACAGAAATAATCCAGGAGAATTTTCCTAATTTAGCAAAAGGTAAAGATACTCAGATGTATGAGGCATACAGGACCCCAGCTACCTACAACCCAAACAGAGCAACACCCAGGCATATAATAATAATAATTCCAGAAATTCAATACAAGAACAGAATATTAAAAGCTGTAAGAGACAAGAAACAGACCACTTACAAGGGAACACCCATCAGAATTACAGCAGATTTCTCTGCACAAACCATCAAATCACGAAGAGCGTGGGGGGAAATAATTCAAGCTTTGAAAGATAATAATCTCCAGCCAAGATTGAGATATCCTGCACAACTGTCCCTGGAAATTGATGGAAAAACAAGGTGCTTCCAGGATAAAGAGGAACTGGGGGAATATGCAACCACCAATTCAACTCTACAGAGAGTATTGCAGGATATTCTAAAAAAAGAAAAATACAAAGAATCCAGAAATAATGGCAGAGAGGCCACAACGAATGGAGCAGAGAACAAAATGAAGAAGACAAACTGACAGCTACTGACAGAAAAAGAGCTCAACAGAAATGAGGCAGAGAAGATTGGATGATAGGAACAGCTATTTTGGAGAAAATGACATCTTAATAGGTAATACTGATTTAGTATCATCTTGTTTTGAAGTCTCATCTAGCTTTTGTCCTTCTGTCTCCAATGGTCTAAATAGGCTGTATCTTATTGGATTTTATTATGTACGATAGCATAAGCAAAAACCTTTTAAAGACAAGGAGATTATACAGAAACCATTGTTCATTTTCTGTTAGTCGATTCTAAATACTCTGTAATGCTGTCATTCTCTTGAATGGTTTTACATTGTTTTGATATACTTAATGCTACAGTATACGAAGTTGTACTCAAGGATTTCAAAGAAAGAGACAATATGGTAACTACTTTTAGGTTAGGATTATCTGGTGGTGAAACACTATTCTGCTTAAATGGTTATGTTTTGATCTGTGCTGTTTCATTGTTATGTCCTCTTTTATCTCAATCTCCACTCCATTATTTACTTTTTTATCTTTATCCTTTTAATTAAAGGAAAAAAGATAGCAGGATATATTATAGTAACCCACTTTGACTTTTCATTACCTTGATTTAAAGCCCTGTATTACTCTCACCATCTGGTTTTTAACTGATGTTCCCCTATTCTGTTTTGCTGGATAGTATCAGGTTCGAAAGTTTAGGCATCAGCTGTAAAGATAATGAGATTCATTATGACGCCCATTCTTGTTGACTTTTATCTACTTTTGAAGACCTACAATGTCTCCAATGTTTTGGTTTTGTCGGTTTTATTCTTTACTGTTTTGTTCAATTGTATTATAACTAACAATATAGACAATTCTATTAGAGATAGCGGGAGCCATTATGGTAACCATTGTTGATCACCTTGTATTATGTTTTTACATTATCTATTATGTCCACCCTTTTGACTTGACCGATTCTGTTCTGTTATGTCACATTTGGTTTTACTCTCTTCCAAAAAAGTAATAAGAACCGTGGGAGCAATGAAACCCAAAATGTGTAATAGTCATGGTACAAAAGAGAGGAAAAGAAAGTGCTCCAAACTATATAACTGCATGTATATTTAAGTGTATAAGATAGAAAATGATATCACAGAGTTTTATTGGATCAATGAACAGAACTGTTTGCAGTATCATTGATGGAATGTCCACTTTACAAGCTTTAATTTTGTGACTTGAACACTTATTTCTAAGATGACAATGTGTAATCCATTAACTAGTGATTTCCTACTGTTCAATTTTTTTCTGTAAATCTGTATAACTTGTACCCTTTCCCTGCTTTTTTTTTCTTTTCTCCTTAAATAAAATTTAAAAAAATAAAAAAAAACAAATCAGCTTGAAAGAAACTAAGGATAGATTATCCAAACTGGAGGACAATTTTGCAATGTGGGAGTGTGAGAGGGAAAACTTTTTTAAAATAACAAGGAAATAAGCAATAACAATACAAAGGCTAGAAGATGACAAAAGGATCTATAACGTATATAAAGAATGTAAATGAAGAAGCTAGGATACTAACAAAGGAACTACAAAGGTTATTCACAGAAAACTTCCTAAACATAGGAAAAGGAAATGATATTCTGATATATGAGGCATACAGAACTGGATCCAGCCACCTACAACCAAAACAGAGCTACACCCAGGCATATAATAATTAAGATCCCAGAAATTCAATATAAGAACAGAATATTAAAAGCTGTTAGAGACAAGAAACAGATAACCTGCAGAGGAAGGCCCATCAGAATAACGGCAGACTTCTCAACACAAACCATCAAGTTTGTGTTGAGAAGAGCCTGGAGCGAAATATTCCAAGCCCTGAAAGAAAATAACCTCCATCCCAGATTGATATACCCTGCTAAACTGTCTCTAGA